GTGGGGGATGTGCAGGAGGCAGCTGATCGATGTTTCTCTCTCATCGATGTTTCTAACTCTCTATCTCTCTCCCCTCCTCTCTGTGGAAAATCAATAAAATATATTAAAAAAAAAATCAGGTTCTGTCTTAGCCTCGTGACAAGTCAAAGATAATATTGAGGGAAAATCTCAACATAGCTCTCATTTATAGCAACCAGATTGTTAGCAACTCAAAAATATGATTTATGTCTAATTTTTCTTTGGTAATGCACTTTGGCTGATACACTTGGTAGATGGGCACTAAATAATTAAATCTAATAGTGATCTTAATTAGTGTAAAATATTTATTATCATTTATTGAACATTTTTATTAATATAAATCATAATAGAGAACCCAAAACTAGACCCCTCCCCCCAAATATTTGGGAATTTAGTAGCACTTCAAATTAAGTCAAGAAAAAAGGCTTCAATATTTTCTACGTGGTGTTATAACAACTGGCTTGCCATTTAGATTTCAAAAGAAGCTGGATTTCTACTTCACTCCTCACCCCCAAATAAATTATAGATGAATTAAAGATCTAAACTGAAAAAAATATAAAGCTGGACACATGCTAGAATAAAGTACAGATACTTCTTTTTAGCATCTTGGCATTGCATAAAACCAACAAGTCTAAAAGTTAAAGACAGACATATTTGCCTATATGAAAACTATTGTATGGTAAAAATGTCATAAAAGAGTAAATAATCAAGCTTAAAATTAAAGGTAAAATTAACAACAAGAAAAAGATTTTTGAACAGAAAAATAACCCATAAATTACCTATAATTTATGAAATAAAGTTCAACCCTGCTCAGAATTATGCAAATGAAAATAAGATACTATTTTTCATCTATTTTAACATATTTCATGGATCAGCTTTGAGGAAGGATGGAGGAGAGCACTTGAGCAGTCTCTATACAATTTTAAAATACATTCTTTGACCCAGCAATTCCACTTCTAAAGATGTATCCATGAAGTATAATTGTACATGTAGTTAGAATAAGGATGATAAGTACAGTATTTTTTGTAATAGTAAAAAATGGAAATAATACTGATAGAGGCCGGTTAAAAATTAATAATCTATAATACTTTGCACTATTTTAAAAGTCTGGTTATTAGATTTGAATATTTGATATGGAAAAGCCACCAAGATTCATTGTTAGAGTTAAAAAAAAAAAAGAAAGAAGACAGGACACTACTGTGTATATTGTTTCTATTTGTAAACAGCAAAACCTCAAAAAGTGTGTGTACACACATAAGAAAATTTCTGGCAACATCAAGAAATTGTTAAAAATGGGTACCTTTGGGGATGGGAGTAAAGATTTTGGGGTAGGAGGAAGACTTGTTTTTCATGGTATATACTTTTATATTGCTTGAAAATTTAAAATTATGTAATATATCATTGAAATTACTGAACAAAAAGCTACTTGAAAAAGCAAGGATTTTATATATTTTAGCTTTCTGTTTAAGCATAATGTTTGTGATAATCATACTTCACTATGAAAAAGATCAAATTATACTTAATAAAACAAGTAAAGTAAGCATGTGTAACATTTACAAGGTGGTTCTTTTTTTTAAGTGGCAGACTCCATTTCTTTTTTACTTTATTTATTTTTATTATGATGATGATGAAAAACATATAACATACAATTTTCCATTTTTTTCCATTATAGTTCACATTCTGTGTTAGTTTTGGTGCACAATATAGTGGTTAGAGTGACAATCAAATACTTAACAGAGTGGTCCCCCTAATATTTCAAGTACCCCCCACCCCGGCCCATACATAACTATTACAATATTATTTTTTTCCCTTCATTGACCTCTCTCCAGCCACTCCCACCCCCCAGCAAATGCCCTCACCCTCTAGTAACTGTGTCCATTGGTTATGCTTATATGCATGCATACAAGTCCTTTGGTTGATCTCTTTCCCCCTTCTCTGCCCCCCCCCCTTCCCTCTGAGGTTTGACAGTCAGTTTGATGCTTCTCTGTCTCTGGATCTATTTTTGTGCATCAGTTTATGTTGTTCACTGTATTCCACAAATGAATGAGATCATGTGATATTTATCTTTCTCCGATTGGCTTATTTTGCTTAGCATAATGCTCTCCAGTTCCATTCATGCTATTGCAAATGGTAAGAGTTCCTTCTTTTTTATAGCAGTGTAGTATTCCATTGTGTAGATGTGCCAAAGTTTTCTAATCCACTCATCTCCTGATGGGCACTTAGGCTGATTCCAAATCTTAGCTATTGTAAATTGTGCTGCTATGAACATAGGGGTGCATAGATCCTTTGTGATTGGCATTTCTGGTTTCTCGGGATATATTCCTAAAAGTGGGATTACTGGGTCAAATGGGAGTTCCATTTTTAACTTTTTGAGGAAACACCATACTGTTTTTCCACAGTGGCTGCACCAGTCTGCATTCCCACCAGCAGTGCACGAGGGGTCCTTTTTCTCCACATCCTCGCCAGCATTTGTCGTTTGTTGATTTGTTGATGATAGCCATTGGGACAGGTGTGAGGTGATACCTCATTGTCATTTTGATTTGCATCTCTCAGATGATTAGTGACTTTGAGAATGTTTTCATATGTCTCTTGGCCTTCTGTATGTCCTCTTTTGGAAAGTGTCTATTTATGTCAGTGGTTCTCAACCTTCCTAATGCCGCGAGCCTTTAATACAGTTCCTCATGTTGTGGTGATCCCCAACCATAAAATTATTTTCATTGCTACTTCATAACTGTAATTTTGCTACTGTTATGAATGGTAATGTAAATATCTGATATGCAGGATGTATTTTCATTGTTCGCAACCCACAGGTTGAGAACCGCTGATTTATGTCTTTTGCCCATTTTTTAATTGGGTTATTTATCTTCCTTTTGTTAAATTGTATGAGTTCCCTGAAAATGTTGGAGATTAAACCCTTATCGGAGATAACATTGGCAAATATATTCTCCCATGCAGTGGGCTTTCTTGTTGTTTTGTTGATGGCTTCTTTTGCTATGAAGAAGATTTTTATTTTTATTATTATTTTTTAAGTCTTTTTGTTCCTTTATTGGAGCAAGATTCCTGACCAGTATACAGTGATGTATTCACTAAACAGAGACCTGTGCAGAAATTACATACTATCCATCTAGATAGGTTTTATTACACTTTGCCTATTGATGGGATAGTTCCACTTATAAAGTTTTATATATTAAATTAGAGGCCTATTGCATGAAAAGATTTGTGCAATAGGCCTTCCCTT